GATAGCGTTGGGATGAGAGAAAAGGAGAAAGAGCGTTGAGAGATCGTTTGGAAAAGGGAAAGGCGAATGAAGGATAGAAATAGAAATAGAAAAAGCGAGAAATAGAAAAAATAGAAATAGAAATAGAAAAAGATTGGTTGAATTGGATGGGGAAAGGCGTAGAGGAGTGGCTAACTGCGAGAAAAAAGAAAGAGAAGTCAATTGGAAGCGAGAAGAATGGAAATGATGGGAAGTGAGAAGAGAAGAAAGGAGAAAGAAAGAAAGAAAGAAGAAAGAAAGAGAAAGAAAGAGAAAGAAAGAAAGAAAGAAAAAGTCTCGAAAGGGATGGGATGAGATGGAAAGGATGAGAATGTTCAAAAAAACAATGGAAATAAAAGAGATCTAGGAAAGATGATGAGGAAAAAGAGTGAAGGAATTGGAAAAGAGAACTGGAAAAGTGGATAGGAATGAGGTAAAAGAAATAAGTGAGGATGTGAGAGGAAAAAAATGGGGGGAAAGGGGCACATTATAGAGATCCACAATCCAAAGAAATGCTAGGTTTGTGAGAGTTTTCGGGAAATAGGGAATTGAAGCACAGAGATATCAAAAGAAGAATGGGAAAAGATTTGTTATAGAAGAAAACTGAGATAGAGTCACTTTTCAAGAGCTAGAAACGAGTAAACGGCCGAGATGAGATACAAAAACAGTCACAAAAAGGACACTTTCCAAAAATCTGACAAAGGAAGGACACAAGGCTGAGGTGGCCGAATTAGAGAACAAGCTAGAGACAAGCTAGAGGACAAGTTAGAGGTCAAGCTAGAGAACAAGCTAGAGGACAAGCTAGAGGACAAGCTAGAGGACAAGTTAGAGGTCAAGCTAGAGGTCAAGCTAGAGGACAAGCTAGAGAACAAGCTAGAGGTCAAGCTAGAGGTCAAATTAGAGGTCAAAAATCAGTCCCAGATCAAAATATAAGGCTTCTTTCAGGGCCGTGGAATTTGTGCTTGTGGTTTAGTGGATAAGAGCCTTTTTCCGAAACAAGGTATCGATTCTTTGCTCGGGTTCGATCCCTTCCTTTTGTTTTCATTTTTATTTTGATGTTTCATGAGATCTGAGTGCTCAAATATTATCGATATTCACAATTATCGATGTTCAATCGATGATTAAACGAATATTACTCAAGATTATAAATTACTAAACAATGCGAGCTTTTTATTTTCTTGGAAATATGTCATTGTGTTCGCTGAATGAATCTGAATGCACTATGACATTTTTTGTGTCAATTGTGCCTCATTTGGAATCGATAAACACGTTGATATCCCCATCAACATCATCGACTTTGTGAAGAGGAAAGTATGATTTTAAAACTTGTACAAGATGTAATGTTAAAGCAGTTGCAAAACAGCTGTTTTAACTGTTTTGCAGCAAAAGCAGCTGTTTTTGTGTTTATGTGTGTTAATTTCTTTTGTTATTTTGTTTATGATCAATTAAAAGATTTCATAATACATTGTAAAGTTAAAATAGAGTGAATTCAAGCGGCTAAATATGAAAACAAATAAATTACTGAAAAATGAAATGAAATGAAAAGCAAATCAAATGAAAACAAAAGGAAGGGATCGAACGCGAGCAAGGAATCGATACCTCGTTTCGGAAACAAGACTCTTATCCACTAAACTACAAGCTCATTTCGTGACCGTGAAAGAAGCCTTAATAGAGACTGATTTTTGACCTCTAATTCGACCTCAAACTTCTTTATTTGCTTGCCAGAATCCTTGCGTTTCGACTCATTTTGCAAAAACGAATAGCAGTATCGAAAACAGCGTATAATTCTGCTAAATGGCTCATGTCATTTGGCCACCTCAGCTTTGTCATTTGGCCACCTCAACTTTGTCATTTGGCCACCTCGGCTTTGTCATTTGGCCACCTCGGCTTTGTCATTTGGCCACCTCAGCTTTGTCATTTGGCCACCTCAGCTTTGTCATTTGGCCACCTCAGCTTTGTCATTTGGCCACCTCAGCTTTGTCATTTGGCCACCTCAGCTTTGTCATTTGGCCACCTCAGCTTTGTCATTTGGCCACCTCAGCTTTGTCATTTGGCCACCTCAGCTTTGTCATTTGGCCACCTCAGCTTTGTCATTTGGCCACCTCAGCTTTTTAATCTTCCCTTGTGAGAATTAGAGAAAAAAGATTCTAAAAATATCATGAATTTCAAGAAAAAGAGGCAAAAGCTTTCTGTGTATTTAGCGGAAAAGGGAACAGTATTCATGTCATTTTTTGCGGGATTTCTGCAAAAAAAAATGAAAGTGGAAGTGAAAAACGGAGGACGAATTGAAAGAGCAAAAGTCAGAAGAAGAGGAATTTTTATGTGGACAAATATTTGTTTGGAAAATCCAGTCAAATGGATTACTTCTTTTCAGCTAGATAAGCAAGCTAACAATTCAAACGTGCAACTATTGTTGTCTTATTCGGAAAATTGGGAGTCTGTTGGTTTTTAGAAGATTTTAATGGATTAAAAGTATGCCTTCATTGCTTTTCAATTTTCTAAACAATCAAATCATAACTTTCTCTGCAATTTTTTTTTTGCCAATAACAATTAAATATTAGTCTGTTATGCACTAAAGCCCAAGCCAAAGCCAAATTTGATTCAAAAAGTTTCACAAATTTATAGCTCAAAATCGTCTTGTTACCATCAAAAAAGCAAGAGAGATCCCAGAAAGAAAAAGAAATTTGATTTCATAAAGTCGCAATGACAACGCAACGACAACGACAACGACAACAACGGCGCAACGTCAACGCCAACGACAACGCAACGCAACGACAACGCAACAAAACGACAACAACAACGACAACGACAACGACAACGCAACGCAACGACTACGACAACGACAATGACAACGACAACGCAACGCAACAACAACGCAACAAAACGACAACGACAACGACAATGACAACGACAACGCAACGCAACAACAACGCAACAAAACAACAACGCAACAAAACGACAACGACAACGACAACAACGACGCAACGTCAACGACAACGACAACGCAACGCAACGACAACGCAACAAAACGACAACAACGACACAACGACAACGACAACGACAACGCAACGCAACGACAACGACAACGATAATGACAACGACAACGCAACGCAACAACAACGCAACAAAACGACAACGACAACGACAACGACAACAACAACGCAACGCAACGCAACAACAACGCAACAAAACGACAACGACAACGACAATGACAACGACAACGCAACGCAACAACAACGCAACAAAACAACAACGCAACAAAACGACAACGACAACGACAACAACGACGCAACGTCAACGACAACGACAACGCAACGCAACAACAACGCAACAAAACGACAACGACAACGACAATGACAACGACAACGCAACGCAACAACAACGCAACAAAACGACAACGACAACGACAACGACAACAACAACGCAACGCAACGCAACGACAACGACAACAACGACACAACGACAACGACAACAAAACGACAACAACGACGCAACGAAACGACAACGACAACGCAACAAAACGACTACGATAACGCAACGCAACAACAACGCAACAAAACGACAACGACAACGACAACGACAACGCAACGCAATGACAACGACAACAACGACGCAACGACAATGAATGATTTGCAATAGAGTTAAAATTTAAACTGAATCCTATTTTCTATAAAATTTGAAATGAATTCTGTTTATGAAATCAGTTGAAAACCTGTAGAAAAGTTAGAGAAAAAAGCACTAATTCCCAGTGTACTTTGTGTGCGGGGATGAGTGTGGGGATTTGCTCGATTTGCTGCCTAAATTAGTGGTGACTTTTCAAAATGATTTCTGAGTAATGAGAAAGGTTTTGAGTTCTTGGAAAAGAATGATGTTAAATGGAATGAAACTTCAATTATCAATTTAGTATCGAGATCAGTAAATTGACCTAAAAAAAAGCATTTTACTGGGTACAATCTGCAATATTTCTACTGATGTTTGATGCAAAAAAGAGTGGAATATGTGAATCTATTAGTTTCTTGAAATTCTTGTTCTTTTCTTGAAATTTTCTTTGTTAGTAGTAATTTAGTAGCAATGTTTAGTTGTTTAGTTTAGTAATTTAGTAGTTGTTAGTTTACGGGAGTTGAAACATTGAAAAAAACATTAAAAAAACAAAATCAAAAACAAATTCTTTAAAATAAACATATATAAAGGATAAAAATAGTCGAATTTTTAAAATTTGAGTTTTATTTTGCTCTATTTCGACGGATTTTATTATAAAAACACGTCTATTAATGTGAAAAGAACTTTCTAGTAAAGAACTTTCTAGTAAAGAACTTTCTAGTAAAGAACTTTCTAGTAAAGAACTTTCTAGTAAAGAACTTTCTAGTAAAGAACTATCTAGTAAAGAACTCTCTAGTAAAGAACTTTCTAGTAAAGAACTATCTAGTAAAGAACTCTCTAGTAAAGAACTTTCTAGTAAAGAACTTTCTAGTAAAGAACTATCTAGTAAAGAACTATCTAGTAAAAAACTTTCCAACTATGCTAATAAATATTTTCAAATTAAACAAATTCAGTAAGTATTTCCTTCTTTGAAAAGATTTCAGTTCTCTGTGTTCTGATTTTTAAAGACGGAAGGACGGAGGCATTTGAGAACAGGTGTTAAACTGCATCCGAATGTAGAATATACCGTATTTTCTCTAATAGTAGTGCACCCTGCGCGTTGCCTAAATTGCTCGAAATCTCGAAAAGCGTTTATCAGAACCTATCGATGTGGGGTCGGAAAATGTGGCTGACGATGAGATCTTGTGGGGGATTTGAGTGTTGAGCTTCTGCAAAAGCTTGGGAACTGTAAAATAGGCATCAACTCGGCTCGGCACTACTATTAGAGAAAATACGGTAACCAGCTTTTTCTTGCTGACGTCTTTCTGTGCAATAGACTCAAGAATAGACTAGCTTTTTTAAAATTAACAAAGCAATCAAATATTTATTCGGATCGAACTTTAGACGTTGAAAACGGTGGCTGGTGGAGGGGATTTTTCGGTGAAACGGCAAGGCACCGAGGCTCGTGCATCGTTCGCCGTTGTGATCTTGAAATTGAGGACAAATCTACGCACAAGGCTACAATAAAGCTATTATTAGCAACTTATTATTAGCAATAAAATCCATTCTGACAAGTATAAGCTATCTGCTTTGGATCAGACAAAGACAAATATCAGTATTTAACACATTCACAATGAGATTTTTTGATTTTTGCATAATTATTTCCCTTTCAGCTCGTCTAAAAACGTTCACAGGCAACCGATTTACTTAAATTAGGGCTCAAAATGAAAAGAAATGTTTACGGATCATTTATCTAAAAAGAAATTAAAGAAATATTGAGTTTGAAGAAAGTTCAGAATGCTTTAGTATGAGAAATTTCTCGGATCACCGTTGACCCGGGAACTATTTTGCATTCAATGGCTCATAACTCCCTTTAAAGTCACTATTTTTTAAACAGTTTTCAGATAAATGATCTTCAAACATTTCTCTTCATTTTGAGCCCTAATTTAAGTAAATCGGATGACTGTGGACGCTTCTAGACGAGCTGGAAGGGGCATAACTTACGCAAAAATCAAAAAAATCAAAAAAAGCTCATCGTGAATGTGTTAAACAATGATTCCAAGAGAAAAACAGAAACAATTCGAACGAATCGTATAAGTCGTTGGGTTCGGTGTTGGATTTGGCTTAAAACCTTGACTTTTGCTTGGCTTGGCTTGGCTAGACTTATCGTTAGCCTGAATATTGGAACTTTTACCGAACTTGGAAAAGGCAACTTTTACCAATGAAAGCTATTCAATCCAGTTTACTTATGGCTTTACCTACAAAAAGTACTCAGTCAGGAATCAGGCTTGATCTACATAGTACTTGATCTACATAGTACTTGATTTACATGGTACTTGATTTACATGGTACTTGATCTACATGGTACTTGATCTACATGGTACTTGATTTACATGGTACTTGATTTACATGGTACTTGATTTACATGGTACTTGATTTACATGGTACTTGATTTACATGGTACTTGATCTACATGGTACTTGATTTACATAGTACTTGATTTACATGGTACTTGATTTACATGGTACTTGATCTACATGGTATTTGATCTACATGGTACTTGATCTACATGGTACTTGATAGGCTTTACCTATCAGGCTTTACAAAGCTTACCAATTTAACTCACCAAATAGGCATCATCGGAGTGAAAGGACAAGGCCTTGACAATGTCGCCAGCCCTCAATGACACTCCAGATAGCATATCTGTAAAAAAAATAGATCCATCAAGGATTAAGCTTACAAAAGTATGGACATACGACATTTGCACATTTGGGTATTGGGTATTGGGTACGACATTTGCACAAGTTTTTGGCTTTTTTTTTTTAGCTTCTAACTCTACCATCTTTTAGTCTATTTGGATTAAATCGATATTTAAAAAAAAAACTTCGCACATTTTTCTATCATAATAAGCTTACAGAAAACAAAAATAATGAAAAATAAGAAAATTATGCACTTTTTTATTGTCGCAATCCCATTTTTCAGTTTTTGAGAGTAATTCAATTGAAACTTTTATTCGATGTGGCTGACTGGTTAAGTGTCTTTTATCTTAATCGGGGAAGGTCGAGGGTTCGAACCCCACATGCGACATGGTCACCCCCTTCGGATTTCCTTTCCCTTCGGGTTGAGAGGTTTTCTGGAGGGCAGTCTGGTGGTTGTGGCCCCAGTTCTTTAAAGTGACAAGCCACTCCTTCATCGTCATCTTCCCTTCACCACCAAAAAAGCTATTTAGTTCCCCATTGAGCTTAGGGTTAGGGAGCCGTCTGTCATGACGTGGGTTAAGTTAAGATATAGCCTAGTATTGTGTGTGTCGTTGTATTGTGATTGATATATTTCGTGTATGCGATAAATTCACCACTGGTAGCCCCAGTCGGTATTTTTTATTTGATTGATTCGAATGAAATAACTACCAAAAAGTAGCTTTAGATGTGTTTTAACAATATTCGAAAGTAAATTGGCAAAAGGAATAGAGATGAGAAAGCAGTAGCCCAAAAAAAGGCTACTTAATTTTTAACTTTTTGAAAAACTTACTTAAAACGCCCCAAAATCTGCCATCTCTATTCCTGCTGACAAATTTTTTTATCTATCTTCGCACTTAGGTGTTCCTATTTGTGCAGATGGTAGCCTGCTTCCACATTTCTCTATCTCTTGCTATTGTCATCCATTGTTTCCTATCTTGGTTGTTCCTGGTTCGAAGTCTTCGACTTGCTTGTGTTGGTGGTGGTTGCACTCTAGCCATCCTTTCTCTGACCGTCGCTGCCACTCTTGTGCTCCACCTCGTTGCTGGTCTTCCGATGGGCCTCTTCTGATCTCGTGGTAGCCACTCTGTGATCCGTATCGTCCATCTATCATGCAGCCAGGGCCATCTACGTCCAAGGTCCAGGGTCAGCCCATCTAAGTCTTTCTCTTTCAATCACTTCCACTGGATCTCTGAGTCCTGAGAGCTGACGCATATCCGTACTTCTTAGGCCTTGGTCTTGGTCTTGGTCTGCGAGAGCTGCGTCTTCCTATTGTGGAGGAGGTTCCTTTCAAGGGCTCGATGCGTCGTTCTCAGGGCTCGCTCGGTGGTCTGTGTCGTGGCCCAGGTCTCTGTCCTGTAGCAGAGTGCCGGGAGGACGGTGCTGTGTTGACAATTTACTTTCGAATATTGTTAGAACTTATCTAAAGCTACATTTTGGTAGTTATTTCATTCAAACTGGTCAAATCGAATAAAAGTTACAATTGAATTCCTCTCAAAAACTGAAAAATGAGATTGCGACCATACAAAAAAAGCATAATTTTCTTATTTTTTATCATTTTCAAATCTTTGTCATTTTTGATCTCTAACTCTACGACTTTTTAGCCTATTTGGATTATATGGGTATTAAAAAAGAGTTTCTATGATATCTAAAAATCTCAGTATTGAACAAGTACATTGAACAAGTTACCCTGATAATCGACAACCATTTGTCGCCTTTGTGGGAAGTGATGCTTTCGACCGTTTCGTATCGCATAACTTCGATCAGGTGGCAATTTTCTGATCATTTCGCTCTTTTTCTCAAGTCCTTTTGGTCTAAATCATAAAAGCTCATCAATTTCTTGGAAAACTCACTCTTTCTTATCGATTTCTTCATTGGCAATCGCTTTGGCTAGATGCCATTGCTTGATTTGAGCTCGAACTGTGTCAAGGTTGAATTTAGCAAATTCTTGATTGTTGTTTGTCTAAAAGCTTGAAATTTCGAGATTGGGTAAAGAAAAACTTACCGTAAACACTGTAATAGTACCCCAGCCCCATAATAACGGTGCGGAGCGTTGCGTAGTCTAGCTTTGGACGCGTTTTTCTCGACACTGGTTTATGCTACAATGCGCGCAAAGGTATCAAAAGATAGCTGAGATTTAGGGCTATTTTTTGATACCAAAGACGCATTTTTTGAAAGTACGAGCGCTTTGGAAAAAATGAAATACTAAAAAACTGCGACATGCGACTGAAATACTTGCGACTACGCGACTGTACGAGGGGGGTGGGGTACTATTATAGTATTTACGGTAGTCACTGTTGTTAGGTAAATCATTTCTTCAACAAAACAACTTATAAATGTACTCACTTTCATACAATGGACAATCTGATGAGGCCTCGTGGCACATTTCTTCAACAAAGTGTCAACCTTGTTCAAGAATTGCTGCGAAAACGTTTGATTTGCGTCCACCACCGGACATTTGATCACTTTTGGGCTGAATTTTTGATTCTTTATACTAGAAATATCGTTCTAAAGGTACTTTGCTGTACTTTTACTATCCACAAAACAAGATTAGTGTTTACTTTTGGTTTTTGGCATTGAAGTAAATGCTAAAGGTGTCAAGGCGACAATAAACATTTAATAAATGCATTTTCTACTTACTCAAAAGTTAAATGTTACACTAATTGTAAGATTAAAATGTAAAAACTGAGCTATAATTAAGTCTACAGTATTCTCTCAAATTCTCTAGTAGTGCGCCCGGCCGAGCCGAGTTGATGACTATTTTACGGTTTCCAAATTTTTCACAGAACCTCAACACTCTAATCCCCCACAAGATCTCATCGTCAGCTACATTTTCCGACCTCACATCGATAGGTTCTGATAAGCGGTTTTCGAGATTTCGAGGAATTTAGGCAACGCGCAGGGTGCACTACTATTAGAGAAAATACGGTATGTTACAACTGTTATTGAATTTCGTCCAATTCTGAATTGGACCTCCGTTTTTGAATCGTCCAATCTACAGTTTTTTTGACCTCTCTAATGATCCATAGTTTTTACGAGTTAGCAAATATAATTTCAATTTCTATTCATTTTATTTAGTTACATTTTTAGAAGCAGTAAATACCGTATTCTCCCTAAAAGTATTGCGGGCTCGGAGGGGATTAAGAAATTTTGACAAAATTAAAATGTACTTTAAAATGCAATTAAAATTAGCATTTAAGTTTTTGCTGTTTGTAGTTTTGAATCATTTTAAGTTGAAAACACACTCTTCTACTATCTACTATCTCGACTCGACTTGGGACTCGACTCGACTTGGGACTCGACTCGACTTGGGACTCGACTCGACTTGGGACTCGACTCGACTTGGGACTCGACTCGACTTGGGACTCGACACGCGTTAGCCGGGTCGAGTTAAGTCGAGTCACAAAAGCGAAGCTACGAGGAAGATTCTAAAGGATTTGCAAATTGAAGCTATTCTGGTACCTGGAGGGTGCACTCAGTACATTCAAGCACCGGATGTTATCTGGAATGCTCCTTTTAAAACGAGGATTCAAGCCTAATATAAAGATTGGATGCTGAATGGACGAAAACCGTTGACTCACAATGGAAATCCGGTTCCACCACCAATGGGAATCTATCTGGAATGGGTTTGGAATGCGCGGAACGAACTCTCGAAGAGCTTCATCGTGCTCTCATTCAGTGCGATTACCACGGCTATTGATGGCTCTTATTCACTGCTTTAAGAAAGAAGGATTTATTCCTGAAGGCGCAAGACTTCTCAACGATGTTCGACTTGAACAATCCATCAATCGAGTAAAGGATGAATTTGAAAATATTGAATTGGATAGAGAATTGGATAGAGATAATGATTCGGATAAGAATTCTGTTGTTTATTTCTTGAATAGTTTATTTTATATCATGTTTTGTTGTTTTATTTTTGAATTTTTTGCTAATAAATTTAAAGAAAATTGTTTATTTTGCAAGAATTTTTGGAGATCTTTATCTTTTTTATATCTTTTTTAATTGAAATTTGTTTTTGTAAGCTGCTAAAACACTTTAAAAGGATTGCAGGCTTTGAGGGGTTTGTAAAGATAGTATGGCGCAATACTATTAGATAGAATACGGGAAACGAAACGATTGCTTTGTGGCGAATAGCTACTAAAAGTTATCTAACTCTGACAGCCTAAAAATTGGAAAAGTATTGAGGAAATCGGTGCGCCTTCATTCTATTTCGCGCCCCAAATCATTTATTGTTTTGTAGCTTGTTAGCTGAGTATCTTGTGTTAAAGCCTATATAAGGCAACTGTTGAGGCAACTGTTGAGGCAACTGTTGAGGCAACTGTTGAGGCAACTGTTGAGGCGACTGTTGAGGCGACTGTTGAGGCGACTGTTGAGGCAACTGTTGTTCATTTGGTTCGGTTATCTTTCATTTTCTTTCTGCTTTCCTCTCATTGTGTCAAACTGGTGTCCTAATTAGGACGAAATTCTTTCTGTTTTTATCGTCACTTCAATTGTCGTCATTCAATTGTCGATCTTGTGTGAAAGTTTGCTCAAGTGAGAGCCCAAAGATTCCGAGTCAGTCGGCTATTGAATAAAGTGTTTTTAGTTCAAGTGAGATCAGATATCTCAAAACAAGAAATAACGTGTCTTGAGTGAAGAGTACCAAGCACGCAAAGAATATTTCTTTACATGCTTGTCAACTGTGTATTCGTAAAACATGACACTCACGAGTACTGATCACTTTGCGCCATCGCGTTCAGATCGGACGTAAAGAGTGTGACGGCGAATTTAAAGGAGCACGATTTTGAGTCAAATAGAGAGACCTTGAGTTGAATTATATAAAATGGTGAAAATGAAATTCTAAGGACCATTCTAAGGACCATTCTAAGGACCATTCGAAGGACCATTCGAAGGATCTTTTCTTACCATTTCTTTTCTGATAGTATTCCGATTATTTTCCACAATTTTCGTGATATTGTACGAGATTGGAACTCGTCCTTCATAATGTCGAACAAGGATTTCTTCTGGAGAAACGTGAACGAATCTAAAATCAGATCTAGTATCAGTGAATATCTAATATCAGTGATAAGCAATTGTTACCAAATTTACGCTATTTTAATTCTATTTTAATTCGCTATCTATTTCTCTTTAGAATTTACGTGAACTCGTGTTTCCTCTGATGAACCATTTCGAGAACATTTTGCATTGATCCCCTCGAGTTGTCACAAGCTTGATCGACGATGTTGAAGAAGCCGAATCGCTTGAATAAATGAGGTTCTTTCTCTTTCTCTTTGTATTCCCTCTTTCTTCTCTGGAAACAAGATACCGGATAGCTTTTGTCCGGATAGCTTTTGCCCGGATAGCTTTTGCCCGGATAGCTTTTGGTTAGAGCATTTACCCGGCCAAGCAAAAAAGTCGAGAGTTCAATCCCCTCTCCGGAAATCTTTCTTTGTCATTCTAGACTTTATTACTTAAATTTTACCGGCTTGAGAAAATCCATGAACAGATTTGTTTCCTTCACTTCTCGATGAGGTAGGGTGGTTCGCTATAAAATCCATAAGATTTTATGTAAAATATTATGGATAATGCAAATGCTTGTCTCGCTTTTGTCTAGCTATTTACAGGGTGACCTTTAAATAGCTATGCCTGTGCTGCCTTGGGCATAAAAACACTTTGGAAACAAAATTCGGTGCTTTCAGCAGCTTAAAGCAATGACCACAATCAAGCCCCGATTCAAATCCAATGGATTACTCAGTCTGGAGTGTTCTCGAAGCAAAGGCCTGCTAAAAAGCTTAAAAGCACATTCAAGCATTGATTCACTGAAAAAGCCACTTCAGAAAGCTTGGGCTGAACTCGATCCTGCGTATCTTTTAGCCACCATCGACGGCTTTCCAAAACGTTTTGCCGGAGCCGCCGATAGAGATATTTTTGAGTTGAAATCAAATCAAATTGTTAAAAGCAATCTAGAGAATAAATTTGTTAAGTTAATTTTTGTTTTTTTCGATAAAAAGGTTTTTAAACCATGAGTTTTATTGGTGCGGGTGATTTTGGAGCACCCTGTATAGCCTTCATGGTTTCTTGGGCCCCGGGGTAGGGCCCCGGCCATTCAGCAGTTAACCTCCTGCGTTATCTCCGTGCTCCTGGAGGTTAACTGCTTCTTTTTGAATCAAAAGAATTAGGCACCTGAATAAAGGATACAGAAACACATATTAGCTGACTAGGTTGGTCAATTCTAAATCAATTTGTTTCTATTAGGTTGATGCAAAAGTCTTTTTCATTTTTTTTCGTACTTCCGTTAAAAAGTAACAAATGCACCAATTGAACAACGGTTTATTGCATTCGAAAGGCCAATTATTTTTCTGCAAAATGACATTAAAACGAGTTTAAAATGTCTTATGTCTAGATTTTTTTGAGAGCCTGAAGTCGGGTAGTCAAAAAAGGCGACGGCTCGATGATGCATTTTAGACGCTTTAGCTAAGGAAACCAATCTTGATGTTAATAAATAAAAGATAGAGCACAAAAAGTTAGATATTTTTCCAGATTTTCAGAGAAATTGACTCAGCCAATTTCTTTATAGAGATTTTTATAGATTTTTATGAAAAACCCGTTTTCACTCTCGAATTTGCTTGAAAGTGAACCCAAATTGACTTAAAAAGATGGGAAATTGAACAATAAACACTTTTCATTCAGAGCAAACCATAGGTTAATTGATGACTTTGTTATTTTTCAAAAGAAGTACGAAAAAAATGAAAAAGACTTTTGCATCAACCTAATAAATCAAAAATCAAAATGTTTCTAAACAAGTCAAGTCCAAAAAAATGCATTTTGATGAAATTCGGGCAATTTTGGGGCATTCTGCAGTATTTTTTGATACCAAAAGTATAATTGGAAAAAAATCTAGGGATTAAGAAAAATGATTTTCTAAAAAGAAGTTAAACTACCCGACTGTATGAGGGGCTTTGTTTTAAAGTATTGGGTTGATGCATAATTATCCGGACTTCTTTTATAAATGATTTTATTTAACAAAAAATAACATAAATAGTTAGAAAAATATGTTTAATTGATTATTCTGGAGCATATTCACCGCCTACATCAATAACTGATTGCCATTTGCTTGGAAGACGATCGATTCCACGAGCGAAGAATAAACGATCTTTGGAGGCAATCCACGCTTTAACATCGTCTATCAAGTCATCCAAATCGTTGTAGATCTTATTTGTTTGCCAATTTTTGAGCGATCGATTGACGTGGTAGTCCGTTGGGGCTTCTCCAGTTCTTTGAGATCGCGAAACGACTCTGCGGCAGACCATCCCTTTTCGAAGTGGTAGAGCATGATATGGCGAAGATGGATATGATTGTCGACACGCATTTTGTTCACTAAAGAATAACGAATATTTAAAAAAAAGAAATAGACAAAAAGCTTTCAAAACAAAAAAGATACAAGCACGCAAAAAGAAGCCCGGATAATTATGCATCAACCCAATATTTACGGTATTTGGTATGCTTTTTGTACTGTAGTGAGACAAGAGAATAAGAATTTACAAAATTTTCAACTAACCATGAAGAAATGCCTTGTTTTTTCAGCGGCCATATTCGCACAGAGTTCGTGCAGTGATCGGGTGCCTCGTTGATTCACTCCAGTCAAACCAGCAATGTCGATGATGTCGATTTTACTCGAACCGATCTCGATTACACTTCCGATTCCTAGAAAGCTATAACTTGGTGATCAAAAGTTCTCCCAAAAGCTACCCGAATCATCATTCACGCTCCCGTCCTCGGAATCGTTTGAAGAGCCAAGCTCAAACAAAGCGTTCGTTCGTCGGATTACCATTTGCACCAAACGAGAGTATAGTGAAGCAACGAGATGGTCACGTTCCATTCTTGCCTAATAATCAAATAAGATTTCCAGATTAAAAAGATAGAACATTTTATATCGAGCGAAAGTTCTTTTGCATCAATCTAGTAGCATTTAGTAGAATTGCTAAATTGGTCAATCGATTTTGCAAAATTGCTAAATGATAGACGACTAAATTCTGTTTAGCAAAATTGCTAGATGGTAAACCGGTAAATGTTAGGTGGTAAATGGTAAATAGTTTGGTGGACCCCGGCTCTGTAATTCTGCAATTAACAGTACATTGCCACTTGCAGTATCAGCCTCATTCTTCAATTGTTTTTTCAGAGGCTTTTTCACCTACACTATGTGCTTATTTGGTCTTTCATTGATATCGGTGACTTTCATCATTATTCAACAAGAGGTTGATTTGATTTATTTCATTTTTGAATTTATTCTAGTCAATAGTTTGTTTCAGATTCAGAAAAAAGGTAGATTAAATATATGCACATAAAAATGGATACCGTATTTTCTCTAATAGTAGTGCTCTAGACTCTCAATATCAACCCCATCCTCTTTATTTAAGGGGATTTTATTTTGTTATGTAAATCAATTCACAATGGACAGTGTTTTCATCCCAGTCGCCTCTTCTTTATGTACAATCACCGAACGAGCGATGAGTTTTTTGAAGAGTGAAAGAGCGGAAAGACCAAGGAGGAAAGCCGCGTCTTCCATGTCTAAATTTGAAAGAATTTTCGAAACAATAGAACTACGACTAGTTGCAATTTCTAGGTACAATTTTCAATGCCATTTAAATACAATTTTATTATTAGACTTTAGTGCTTTAGAAGCTTTGAAAGAATATGCTTTGAATGCTTAGAATGTTTAGAATGCTTAGAATGCTTAGAAGGCTTAGAAGGCTTAGAAGGCTTAGGGTGCTTAGAATGCTTTGAATGCTTAGAATGCTCAGAATAATGCTTTTAGAAATCAAACCATTGAGATTCTCAATATCAACCCCATCCTCAGTCTCGTAGAACATCAGATTGTTCAAGAGAGCACATGCGGCCAAAATTCTCAAAACGTCATCAAAAGGAAGACAAAGCGTGCTAAAGTTTTTCGTGTAACTTTAACCATCGAGCTTACCTTAAAGCGTTTCGAATTTCTGACAGTCGAATGCTGCTCGCGGATCCATTGTTCAAACGGAAGCCAGCAATACGGAACTTTTCTGAAATTCAACCATCCCATGAATTCCCTTATTCGGCTCTAGATTTTGCTTTGTTGAACCTTTTTCAGTTGGACCCATTTGAGAAGCAATCGTAGCGAAAAGCAAAGCCGAACATCGTCTAGAGGAGGCCTCTGAAATAGTCACTTTACAATTATTTAAGTCTACATCTTGCTTCCCGTATTTCCCCTAAACAGTAATGCACCCGCTAAACAGCTTCGCCTAAATTCTTCGAAATCTCGAAAAGCGCTTATCAGAACCTATCGATGTGGGGTCGGAAAATGTAGCTGACGATGAGATCTAGTGGGGGATTAGAGTGTTGAGGTTCTGTGAAAAATTTGGAAACCGTAAAATAGTCATCAACTCGGCTCGGCCGGGCGCACTATTAGGGAAATGCGGTAACGGCGAGAATGTTTCCTAGCTGTTTCCTAGGTGAGCTCGTTAAAAACGCTCACACTCGAACAATTTTATCGCAAAAGCTAATCAATCTCATGCATCAACTCGACTCGGCCGCGTGCACTACTATTGGGAAAAATGCGCAATCCAGCCTAAAGTGGCGTTGTCCTTACCTGAGATAAAATGTCTTAGAATGACTCGTTGTAAACGACCATCTTTAATTCCGACTTCCCACCAGTGTACCTAAACTTTTATGAAGTAAAAATCAAAATTACAATCAAAAATTGATGACTTAACAAAATCGAAAAGGGCTTTTAGATAGCTTACAGTAGCATTGAAAGCTAAAGAATTTATGTTTCAGAATCCGATCCGGCCGTCAGGAACGGATAATGACTAGAATCCGATCCGGCCGTCAGGAACGGATAATGACGTCAGAATCCGATCCGACCATCAGGAACGGATCATGACGTCAGAATCTGATCCTGCCGTCGGGCGGATATTACTGGGATCCGACCGGCCGTCAGGAACGGATAATGACTAGGCGTCCGCGGCCGGGAATGGATCATGACGTCAGAATCCGATCCGGCCGTCAGGAACGGATATTGACTAGAATCCGATCCGGCCGTCAGGAACGGATAATGACGTCAGAATCCGATCCGGCCGTCAGGAATGGATCATGACTAGAATCCGATCCGGACGTCAGAATCCGATCCGGTCGTCAGGAACGGATATTGACTAGAATCCGATCCGGCCGTCAGGAACGGATATTGACGTCAGAATCCGATCCGGCCGTCAGGAATGGATCATGACTAGAATCCGATCCGGACGTCAGAATCCGATCCGGTCGTCAGGAACGGATATTGACGTCAGAATCCGATCCGGCCGTCAGGAACGGATATTGACTAGAATCCGATCCGGCCGTCAGGAGCGGATAATGACGTCAGAATCCAATCCTATTCGATCCTACCAAAAATGAGAACGGATTCTGAGGTCAGAATCTAATCTAAAGCAAGTTTAAATGGTGCTTGATACAAAATACTAGTAGTTTAAGCGTCGCTACGGTTAAAAGAGTTGCAAAATCGTTTTCTCTGTGTTTTATCACCAAGAAGCCTTCAAAAATAAACAAAAGTCTTTTGTTGAAATCATTTGCAAAAGTTATAGCGTAGAAAATATGAATTTTTATGTCATTAAAGTTCATTTGCATTTAAAATTAGGCTAATTCTCATTTAAAATTAGGCTAATTTTCATTTAAACAAGCTTTGGATCGGTTTCTGATATCAGAATCTTAATGATCGGTTTCTGATATCACAATCCGACCTTATTTTTGGTGGGATCGGCTTCTGACATAACGTATGCATTAAAACTTACCATTCTACTCGATCTCGGATTGTTGAGTGTGGTGACAGAGGTGAGTGCTTGAAGGAGAAGGGTTGAGGAGCGAATCGCGTTCACAATCACACTGTCCGCTTTCGCCGTTCTTTCCACAATGGCCACAATGGCTTGTTCGGCGAGGAAAGATTTCCCAGAACCGCTTTCTCCACTAAAACTTTTTTTTATGATTCTTTTTGCAAAAGTCGAATTTTTTAAAAGCTTTAACAGCTTTTGCATGATGAGAAATAACGGAAATGAAGAAATGACGGAAGATCAGTATGCCAAGCTTTAATATTATTAGACTTTAGTGCTTTAGAAGCTTTGAAAGAATATGCTTAGAATGCTTAGAATGCTTTTAGCTTTTAGCTTTGGCTTTTAGTTTATAAATTTGGGTTTAAAGGGGTATTCCGGTCCTCAGCAAAATCCGATTTTTGCTTCGAACATTATAAGCATTATTAGAGCTAGATTATAAGGGATATAAGAGCATTATAAGCCGTTCTCAGGGACCGTCGCGGGCTACCGGTTTGACCGAGTGGCTAGTGTTCTTGCCAAAGAGGCCAACCATCGAATGGGCCAACCATCGAATGGGCCAACCATCGAATGGGCCAACCATCGAATGGGTCAACCATCGAATGGGCCAACCATCGAATGGGCCAACCATCGAATGGGCCAACCATCGAATGGGCCAACCATCGAATGGGCCAACCATCGAATGGGCCAACCATCGAATGGGCCAACCATCGAATGGGCCAACCATCGAATGGGCCAACCATCGAATGGGCCAACCATCGAATGGGCCAACCATCGAATGGGCCAACCATCGAATGGGCCAACCATCGAATGGGCCAACCATCGAATGGGCCAACCATCGAATGGGCCAACCATCGAATGGGCCAACCATGCCAAAGAGGGTTCGAATCCCGCTCGTTTCCCTTTGGCTTTTGCTTTTTTGTTTTTCATTAGACTTTTCAAGAAGCGATTAGCTGAGGCCAAGGTCCTTACGAATCTGTAGAATTATTACCCTTTCATTAACGAAAGCTAAAAAAACCTACCGTAAATACTGTAATAGTACCCCACCCCCCTCGTACAGTCGCGTAGTCGCAAAAGTTTTTTAGTATTTCATTTGTTTTCAAAGCGCCCGTACTTTCAAAAAATGCGTCTTTGGTATCAAAAAATAGCTGAAATTCAGGGCTATTTTTTGATACCTTTGCGCGCATTGTAGCATAAACCAGTGTCGAGAAAAACTCGTTCAAAGCTAGACTACGCAACACTCCGCACCGTCATTATGGGGGTGGGGTACTATCACAGTATTTACGGTAGCTTTAAAAATAACTTAAAAACTAACAATAAGCCTTTAATAGGCGACAGTTTACAGCCAATTCTAGGTTTAGATCTTTACAGGATACTTTTAGAAAGGCTTCGTTGCGTAAACAAAAACTTTTGCGACTACGCGACTGTACGAGGGGGGTGGGGTACTATTAGAGTATTTACGGTAGTTTTTAATTGATACTTTCCCATCGTCCCATTAAATGATTTAAAATTGGTAAACTTAATAAAAGGTGATCAAGATCTAAAAGAAAGAAAAACTCGTTAAATACCGAAAGCAAAGCCCTGAATTAACTTTCAGTTGCTTAGCTGAATATCATAACGATCTTTTGCTGGTTGTTACCGTAGTCTAGACAAAAAGAACGGTAGAATTAATTCTCTTATGCAAAGGTTCCGTCACATTGCATGGTGCAAAAGTTCCGTCACATTTTAGACTCCCAAACGCATTTTTTTCATTTTTTCACAGTTTTTCATAGGTTTTTCGGATTTTTTTTAGTGTTTTCAAGGTTTTTCTTTATGCAATCGTTATAGAAGAGACTGAAAAGACGATCGGTAAACAAATAGTCGTGGTTTTAGAAAATCCCTTTTGAAGCCTGTGTACCCCTTTAAAAACAGCGTCTAAATATGCAAATACAAGTACAATTTGTTTGTACAATTGTTAACGCAGATTTTCTATAGACTCACGTGAAAAGAATCATCATCTCAGCTTGTCTTAAAGCATAAGTAGCAAGTCGGGAAATGGCTGAATAGCGAAATGCTCTTCCCACACCAATGTTATTGTTGGGATTCACGAAGAGAAGCAATGAACGAGCTTCGAACTGAAACACAATGAGTCGAATATTTTCTAGGTAATAAACCCAGCAAGCACTTTCACTGAAAGCATTATGGAGGAAATCGAGTAATTGTTCTTCAGTCGATGCTGTTTCTTCATTCACTGTCCACACGGCATTCCATCGAGGAATTAGTTGGGTTGAGCCTGGAAGGCGCATTATGACAAAAATCCGTTAAAGGACTTTTAAATGATTGCGTATGTACGTATGCGTATGTACGTATGCGTATGTACGTATGCGTATGTACGTATGCGTATGTACGTATGCGTATGTACGTATGCGTATGTACGTATGCGTATGTACGTATGCGTATGTACGTATGCGTATGTACGTATGCGTATGTACGTATGCGTATGTACGTATGCGTATGTACGTATTCGTATGTACGGATGCGTATGTACGTATACGTATGTACGTATACGTATGTACGTATGCGTATGTACGTATGCGTACATCGTACGCTTTGAAGGTTCATAACTTTATTTGGAGATAATAGTATTGTTAACTTTTATATAGTTTTAATGAGGACATTTTAGGTTTTCAAATGAAAACAAATAGAGGTTGATTGGACTAATCAATCTTGGAGAATCGAGAGACAAAACTATCAAGCTGGGTCGCATTGTTCTCCTAGTTTAATTGCTTGTTTAATAAGTTTGTGTACTTTATAAGAAATGGATGTTAATGCTAAGAAAGATAAAAGTTAGCTTGAAGTCCGTAGAGAATGGTGTATCAGCAGTGTTGAAAAGGCAAAAATTATCAGGGAAAAAGAGGTTTCCCCTAAAAGGGTACTGGGTCTACACACTGGTACTAGTCGTACTTGTATTACTTGGATTTGATTATAATATTGCAGGCATGGTATTGGTACTAGTTCAGGTACTAGTTTAGCTGCTAGTTTAGCTGCTAGTTTAGCTGCTAGTTTAGGCAAATCTCAGTGAATAGCTTGTCAAATAGAGCCAATGAGCCAATTCAAATAAGCTCACTTGTGCTCGCCTGACTCCGTCCACTGCAACTCGTCTCCGCATAGGTTCTTTGTGGTTTTGGTGGTGGCGGGAATGACGGTCGTTGAGCTAAAAATTCAAATAAAGATTTAAACTAGGCATCACTAAAGTTAGGCATCACTTGGAGTCAAATTGTTCGTGATCATGATCTCTCTTCTCGGCAGAGTCACATTGATTTGTTGTAGTGGCTTCAACAAAGCTGATGTTAGGAGAATTCTGAAAAGAATGGGGAATGAGAAATGGGAAATGGGAAATTTTGAAAGCTACAGGGTGACCAAGAATTACCGCAACAACTTTTTGGAAGAGTGTCTGGGAAATGTCTAATTTATTTCAAAAGTGGCAAGTGTTATATAGAGAATTGTAGGCCTAATTCTCGGCAACATTTATCTACCAAAAACATCCCGTTTGGACTTATACAACTCATTTAACAAGCGCTTGAATGAGTACTAGTTGATCTCTCTGATCGTGCCGGAGAAGGATCAACTCGTACTCATTCAAGGGCTTGCAAAATGAGTTCTATATCTTCAAGAAACTTTTAGCAGATAAATGTAGCCAAGATCAAGAGCTTCAATATTTTATATAACATACTGTTGAACTTGGAGCTTGAGAGCGCTTGAATGAGCGCTAGTCGACATCTCTCCGGCGAATCTGTCATTTGGTCACTTTTCTCTATTAAAAATTGTTAAGAAAAGCTTTTCTGAGTCAAATTTGTGGTAATTTTGTCCAAATTGTTTTCGAAAACATTGTTTTCAACAAATTCATAGCGCCAGAACAGCTGATACAACGAGATACGCAGATGAACTATCGAAAATACTCATTTTCACCTTTTTTCTCCTCCAAAAGGAGCTTGACATCAACTTGACATCATTTTGGTTATACCAGTCCAGCCAAAACATTTAAGTGTGATTCCTAATGTTATTAAGTGATATTAAACGCTATTTTTGCATTGAAGAAATCTTGAAAAGCTTTTCTTAACAATTTTTTATAGAGAAAAGTGGTCAAATGACAGATTCGCCGAAGCGATGTCGACTAGCGCTCATTCAAGCGCTTGTTAAATGAGTTGTATAAGTCCAATCGGGATGTTTTTGGTAGATAAATGTTGCCGAGAATTAGGCCTACAATTAGGCCTACAACAGGCCTACAATTCTCTGTATAACACTTGCCACTTTTGAAATCAATTAGACATTTCCCAGATACTCTTCCAAAAAGTTGTTGCGGTAATTCTTGGTCACCCTGTATAATCGATAATTGAATTTTTTACCTGCTAGGAGAAGGGGTGAATCCATGAGTTTCTTCTTCAAATTGCGTATCCAAAGCCGTGGAAAGCCGAGAATCCGTTGAGCGACAGGCTGAGCAAAGTTGAGCTCTCATCTCGGTTAGTTGCTCAGAAAGCTGAAATAAGAAATTTCGATATAGATGAACTGTTTAAGTACACGACTAACTTTGGTTATAAAGCCAAGCTTTTTCATTTCAATAATTGTTGGAGGGATTTTTATTGGTTTATTGTGTAGCCAATATGAAATAGTCCGTTCTCCAACTTGTCAGCTGCGAGCCAAACTGATATTTTAGTTACTATTGTTATTATTGAATGATTTGTCTATTCTTATGCAAATGTGTCCTCCCCTGTGCTTCTCCCTTTTATTGCCGAGAAGGGGCGGTTCTTGGGATTGCCTAGGAGGACAGTGAGGAGCCTAGGAGGACAGTGAGGAGCCTAGGAGGACAGTGAGGAGCCTAGGAGGACAGTGAGGAGCCTAGAAGGACAGTGAGGAGCCTAGGAGGACAGTGAGGAGCCTAGGAGGACAGTGAGGAGCCTAGAAGGACAGTGAGGAGCCTAGAAGGACAGTGAGGAGCCTAGGAGGACAGTGAGGAGCCTAGGAGGACAGTGAGGAGCCTAGGAGGACAGTGAGGAGCCTAGGAGGACAGTGAGGAGCCTAAGAGGACAAGTGAGACTCTCATTTGGAGCCCCCCTTCCCCTTACACTTATTTGTAATTTATTCGTCTTATTATATTACTGTAAATAAAGATACATATCTTCCGGGTCTATGCAACTGCAGTACAGGTCGATCATTTCACAGGGACTCTCCTCTAATACGTTGGAGGAGTTGAGTTGGGTTGTCGGGGTGTTAGAGATGGCGGGATATCAAAAGGGATCCACTCTCTTTAACTTAACCCAAATTCTAGTCCACATCCGTTTATACCTAGGAACGAATAAACTACAAGGTACGCGAAAAGTTCTGGCTCCTTTCCAAGAGTTATTTGTACGGATCGAAGCAAGGAATTTAGAGAAAAATGGACTTTAAATTTGAAAACTTTGACTATTTTTTACCTAGAAATGCTTTTTTATAAAGGTTTTTATTTTGAAAATCCATTTTTTTGGCTGAATTGCTCACAGACCACCCCTGGCTTTATTCTGGCCTTTTTGAGTTGAAAATTTTAACGATGCTTAAAAATGGCAAGCTCTTAACCAATTTGACCGTAAAGTCGATAATTTTAAAGGGAAATGTTTCTTCTTTTCTAATATTTAAAAGTTATTTCGGGTTTTTTAAAATCAATTACCATTAGAGGTGATTTTATTGATTCGAATCAATCAATTTAACAGAAAATTAGCCAAGGTAAGGGGGTCTAAACTTTATATAACACTAAAAAAATAAGGGTTGGGTGGGGGGTTTGGGGGGTTATTTAAAAAAAGGAGGCAAAAAAAAGGGGGGGGTGGGAAATTTTTTTTAAATAAACAAAAGGGGGGTTTTTAAAAAAAAAAAGAGGAAAGATTGGGTTGGTTTTAATTTTTTGTTTTTTTTTTTTTTTTTTTTTATTTTTTTTTTTAGTTAAAGATTTATTTTTAATTTTTTTTATTTTTTTGGTTTTTTTTTTTTTTTTTTTTTTTTTGGTTTTTTTTTTTGGTTTTTTTTTTTTTGTTTTTTTTTATTGATTTGATTGATTTGATTGATTTGATTGATTTGATTGATTTGATTGATTTGATTGATTTGATTTGTTTATGCCTTAAGAAGCGACGATTTTTGAAGAAAGGACAGAACTTTTCACGCATTCTTTATAGGTTTCTGGTTAACTTGTTACAAGTCTAAAGCTTCAAGTTTCAGCCTTGAAGCATTTAAACCAACTCTTGAAACTGAACAGCTTGAACAACTTGAACAACTTTCTTTACAACGATAAACTTTTACCGTATCGATATCATTTCGCAGCTTTTGTAGATTCTTTTCATTGTGTATTGGATGAATTGTGTGCACTGGATGCAGCTGTGATCGGATCAAATCCAATGGGAGAGGGCCCGTGCCAGAGTGGATCGCCGGCGGCAGCACCGGCACACAGAGTCGGCCTCGCGGCAGACTATGCGAGTGGTGCATTCACTGAAACGATGATCAAAGTTGTTCTCCAATAAAGTCAATCAATGTAAAAGTCTTATTATGGAACGTCGCCAGATGCCCGTGACCTTGTGAAAAGAGATCAACATCATCTTATAGAACCACTACGCTGATTCCGTTGAACTGAACTCAAGTAAGGAGAGCTAAAACTTGTAACCCAGATATCTCGCGTTACAGGCCTTGAGGGGAAAAATCGAAAACGGATTCGGAATAAGCGATTCTATAAGATGGAGTTGGTCTCGTTTCAAAAGGTTATCGGACATTGGCAACCAAACTTTAAGCTCAAATTTCTTGGTGTTGGGTTGTTCGATTTAAACTTTCTTGTTATCATTAGATGCGCCAAGTCTTTCTCTATCGATTGGTATAAAAACTATTTAAATTAAACAGCCCAACACCAAGATATTTGAGCTCAAAGTTAGATTGCCAATGGCAAAGGGGGCGATGCGCGTATAAAAGTTCCCTCGCCCCGCCCTCTTTGCCGTTGGTAATCTAACTTTGAGCTCAAATTTCTTAGTGTTGGGCTGTTCAATTTAAACTTTCTTGGAATCATTAGATGCGCCAAGTCTTTCTCTATCGATTATCGATGAAAAACGTGCAGCACTAGCACTTTTTCTTTTAAAATATAGTCAAAGGATAAGACGGTACAATCAAAACATCGAAAGTTGTTTAAGAATTGAAAAGAATATAAAAATTGATTGAAAGCATCGCTTAAAGCATTTTCACACTATATTATTGCACGAATTAATCCCATTCTTAAACTTATCAGCTTTCAAAAATGATTTCCCATAAAGAGTTCAAGTTTAGAAATCTAAAAAGTTTAGAAAACAAAGAAATTTAGAAAACAAAGGAAATTCTATTAATTCTATAATTCTATTAATTAAAATGATTTATAAAACAAGGAAAATCGAGAAAATCGAGTATTTCCGATTTTCTCGATAAACGTTAGGAAATTCTCGACGAGAGAAGAATCATTTCTCGAATCTGTCATCGGGGTCTTGTCCTGTCGCGTGGCGTCAACCGAAAACCACACCTGAAATCCCCCCGAAATCCTCTTTATCCACAATATTGATTCATTTTCAGGAAAAAGTGATCGACAAATATTTGAGTTGGCCTTGATTTTGGTTGAATACGTTGAACGGGATTTTTCTATCTTCTAAGAAAGAGTAAGAAAAAGAGTTATCAGTCCTTTAACATTTATATTGGGTTGTCCAGTTATGAATGTCCAGTTATGAATGTCCAGTTATGAATGTCCAGTTATGAATGTCCAGTTATGAATGTCCAGTTATGAATGTCCAGTTATGAATGTCCAGTTATGAATGTCCAGTTATGAATGTCCAGTTATGAATGTCCAGTTATGAATGTCCAGTTATGAATGTCCAGTTATGAATGCCCAGTCTTGACGATGTCCAGCTATACAATGTCCAGTTATGAATGTCCAGTTATTGAATGTCCAGGATTATTAATGTCCAGTTATGAAATGTCCAGTTATTGAATGCCCAGAAATGAATGTCCAGTTAACTGAATGTCCAGTGAATATGAATTGCTACAAAATCTTGATCAGCATGACCATAAAGCTATACAAGCGCGCAGAGGGAGACTGGGCGAGGGTAGACGGGAATTGAGCTATTAAACTATAGCTTTACACTAAAGCGTTGTAGGGGTTGGGGATTGACGCGGCTTGTGCGTTGCATTGGGGGGGGGGGGGGGGGGGGGGGGGGGGGGTACGGTATCTGTCTGTCTTTCTGTCTGCCTTACTGTATGGGCAT